ACAAAAAAAACCCTGCTCATTGCTTATGATAAGGGGAAATGGCTTCAAGTTGAGGGAGGGAAGATTTAGGTTGGATGTAGGGGAAGTTCTTTACTATGAGAGTGGTGAGGTGCTGGAACAGGCTGCCCAGAGAGGTTATGGATGCCCCATCCCTGGAGATGTTCCAGGCCAGATTGGATGGGGCCCTGGGCAGCCTGGTCTAGTATTAAATGGGGAGGTTGGTGGCCCTGCATGTGACAGGGGTGTTGGAGATTCATAGTCCTTGAGGTCCCTTCCAACCCGGGCCATTCTGTGATATGTACATTTATTAGAGAGTATAACACTTACCCTACCACATTAGTCCCAGAAATCAGTGTCACTGCTCTGTTTGGAAATTGTGAGCCTAGCCTTACCTGTATTTCTGTACACATGGTTCAATATGTTATAGAAATAAATGCTGCTGTGCAGCAAAATACAGTTTGTATTTTCTCTTTTCTTAACGCACATAGCCATTTCATTGCTTAGTATCATGCTCCAGGACATCAGAATGATTTCTTGCAAAGAGCCAATTGCCATAAGGTTGGCAGTGGTCACTCTGCATTAATATCCAAACGGGGACGTAGCTGTCCCAGACATAACATGGCTGTGCTGTATGTATTGTGAATATTGTGAGCTTGCCAGCTCTGTACAAATTACATCATTTTCAGATTAATTACTGTATGGCATGAATTTAGCAAACATACTTACGAACATGCTAACAAAGAAAACACTGCAGTTCACAAGTTAAGGACAAACAGAGTACATGTAAGGACAGGAGAGAGCTGGAGCTCAGAACTTATGTGATCCAAATGCAGCATCATGAGTCAAACTGGATAAACCCTGTTTTTGTCATCCATACTGGCACCATCAATAAGGTTTATAGACTTCTATTTCATCGCCGGTGAACATGATGTCAACAGAAACCAAGTGGGAAAGTTGCATGCCATCTCTGGAAGTTCTGTCCTGAGGCAAAAAAAAGGCTGTTCCTCATGCTTCACCTAACGTGCTTGTGTTAGTGTTGTCACCACCTGAGTGATGGGATCTAAGGATATGGGCGTACAAATCCTGCAAATAAGTAGTAAGCGGGAGAAGAACAGACTGCCTGCAGAGCACTGCTTCTCTGCCTCTGTGCATTGCATCACCTTTCATTTCCTTCTTTTTTCCTCATGTCAGCTAATAAGCTTGCATCCATGTAAAAGTCTTTGTTAAAAAACAATTTACCCTGTAGAGCAGTGATTTTTCAGAAAAAAAGGGGGGGGAAGAAAAAGAAAACAGCAGATAAGATGGCCATCTCTGACTTTCAAGGCAGCTCTCTGTTGCCTTGAAAAGCACACTGATATCAGACAAAAGGGCAACGAAATCTGCTGTGAATGAAGTTATGCTTAAAAGATATCCTATATGTTTAATTATAGTGGCTCTAATGTGTCGTCTGCAGAAGTCATGGCTTAAGTTTTTCGTGTATTTGTAGTTCTTAAAGAGCCAATACATGTGCTAGTGAGCATAAGTTCCTCCACTGTGAGGGTAGAACACGTTCACCTTCTCCTGAGGTGTGACAGTTCTCTGTGTTGCCTCAGGGCTCTAACCACTTCTACCCAAATCCTAGCCAGCTCCGTGCCAATTAGATTCCTCACGGCCAAGGAGAGTTCGTTATAAAGCTGCAGCATTTAGATAAGATGCTGGGAAAAGTCTGCACAGAGGGTGTTACAATCCATGGGATGCTGGGAGAAAACCAAATTACACATGTCCAGCTGAATCCTAAAGTGTCCTTTTCTCCTTTCTATCGCATTCACTTATAAATAACTTGATTGCCTGGAAGCAGGAGTCACTGATCCTTACAGGTCCATTCCAACTCAGGACATTCTATGACTCATTGAATCTCTCTCTTTATGCTCTGACTCCCAGTGGACTTCTTATTGGTGCTTCTGTCTCTGAAGCGACCTTAGAGGGCCCTATCCCACTGCTTTCTGTAAACTTTCATCAGTTTCTACTCCTTCTCCCTGGATATTTGTGTTGTTTGTGTAAAACAAGCAAACAACACCTTAAATCTCATTCATTTATTTCTCGTATATAAAACGTTGTAAAGGAAACTCTACAGACTAGGTTTTGCCTTCACAATCCCCATTTTGCCTTACGCTCCACCAGCTCCATGAGGCTGGCCTTCAGCGTCAGCTGCCAAGCACCAGAGCTGGCCCATGGCTTCACACCATGTTGGGAAGTTGTCTGCCCACAGAAGTTTCTGCTTTCCAGTGGGTCCCAGTGCTTACCAAAGATATCCAGATATGAACTCCAGTTATTATTATTTTAGACCTGCCGGGTGTAGGCTATCTGTGAATATGCAACAAAACCATACAGCAATAAAGGAATTATTATTCTGTCCACCTATGTTTTGCCAAACAGCACTGTAATTATGCTGAGCACATTAGAGAGAAACTTTAGATAAAGGACTGTGTAAATATCAGTTGATAGCATTTATTTTACAGCGTGTTATTATTGCTTTATAATTTATCCTCCAAAGATCTGGAAACGTGTTTCCCTTCCCTTTCTTTCCTGTACTCCCACACACTGCTGCTTTGCAAACACAGAGGAAGGCACATGCCCTGCCCTGACGCCCTTACCCGACTTTGAAACGAGATATGACAGTAAGTATGACAAACAGCAGGAGGGAAGGATGGGAAGAGGGCAGCAAGACTACACACTTGCACAGTTTAGCTATATGCTTAATATGATGTATAGGCCTTCAGCTGAACTTGGAAATTTTTCCTCGGTGAGAAAATAGTTACCATGGTGTACGGATTTATCTGAGGGAGGTCAATCTACTACAGAAGCAAGCTGAAGAAAAATAAAATGCCAGCCTTTCTGCCTGAGCTTTTTTTCTCCCTCTCTTTCCTATTCTATTTTAATTTCATCAACACAGATAAATGTCTTTGAATAAAATTCTTCAATTACCAGTGTACAGCAATTTCTAAAGCAGAGCCCTGTCTGTGTCCTGATCTCACTTAGCTGAAGTCAATGAGAAAATGCCAGTTGATGCTGGTTGGAAGGATCAAGTCTGTAGTGCATGAGCAAAATCAAGGACTATAAAGATTAGTGAGGAGAGGGACAGAATTTTAAACAGATGTCTTCACTTCAGAGGTCTGTGAGTTTTCTCCATGTGATCCTGGGAGGGTCATGGCTGCCCGGAATTCGAAAGAAGTAAGGAGAAAGCTACCCGCTAAGGGAGGAAAGGAAGCCACCTACTGCCCAGCTGAGTCCAGATCTTCTCCTCTTTAGAACTTTCTCTGGCAGCTACTTGGGTTGTTAGTGGTAAAGCATCCCTTATCTTTTGAGTGTGTTACTTTGAGCACCTTTGTTTGCCCCTGGACACCATGCAGGCTTCACCATGCGATTCTCTGAATTTCTTCCCTGATACATCCACCACCTGGCTTGAAGCTGAGGAAGTCCTCCATGTTTTTGGTCTGTAAGGGAGTGGCTGAAGCACAAGGAGATTCTGTTAGTGTTGACAATAAAAGTACTCCTCTTGTTCTGAGCAAACTGTTGGCTACACTCATTGCCAGATGCTGCCTTGCTGCATTCCCCATCAGAGCACCTGCATTTTCCAGAAACTAAACTATGATATGAAATTAAAGAATTAGTACAGAAGCTTAGAAGACAAAGACAGATTAGGGTTGTAATAACAAGGACTTTCTCAGATCTGATAAATGTGTTCTTGTTAATAATGAAATATAACGATATACTAAAATATCAATGGTGCATTCATTAATAGTCTTCAAAACTGAAGGACAGACTGCCTTGAACACTTCAGTTGCCTTACAGTAGTCGGCTCGTTTAACTGTATGTATATCTGCTTTGTACAATGGAGAGCTAAGAAAAGATAAGGATGAATCTGGCCCTTTATAAATACCTTTTGTATACAGGAGTCTGAAATGAAGTAAGGGATTGTCTACTGTAAGATTTTCTGCCAAAATCATTAGCAATCTGTTTAGTAAAACTTCATGATAGCAGAAGTCTGATCAATTATTGACCTCTTCTTAACTTTATTTACCATGAAATGAATAAAAAAGAAAAAGAATGTTAGCTAAGAATGGCAAGTTGTAGCTAAGTGAAAGAAACAAAAGTATTCATCCATCTTCTCATAATGCCAAGATTTGAACAGGGTGCTCCTGAGCAGATGGTTTAACAGACTAAAGCATTAGTTTGCTGATCCTCCATGCTTGCTAATTAATTCTTCAGTTTACTAGGTTTTAAGATGATTGTTAAAAACAAAGCTTCTCCTAAAATAAACTTTAGGTAAATGTTATAAAGTGGTAGTTAATATCATAATGGCTGTAACAAAAAATTTGTGCATATTCCAGAAAAGACCTTAATTATCTTAAGTCCTAAGTATTTCCTGAACAATTCTGCCTCTGAAACTGTCTTCTTTTAAGTATTTGCTTTTGTTTTCCAAGCTAATTAATTCTCTGCCTTCCTGTTGACATCGTTGAATCTACATTCTGTCCTTGACTTCTGTGACAATGACATATACATTAACGTGCAGAGGATCTAATCTTTTATAACAAAGTTCTCTCCTCCCCCTGAATTGTTTTAAGACCGTTAACACACAAAACGTAAAAAGTCAATGGTGTCTGTATTGTTTCTAAAGCCACTGTAATTCTAGCTAGCTATGATTTCTTGTAGTAATTAATTTCAGGTTAACGATACTAAAAGTGAATTCCCATTGTGTACATTAAGATACAGAACTGTAGGATATTTTGCTGTTTATTAGATTAATGCAGAAGGCAAATCATTCATTTAATTCAGGTTTCATTTTTATAGCAGTTTTATAAACTGGACTCCAATTTGAAGACAGCAGAACTCTACCCAGAGGAAATTACTGAATGTATACTACAGAGATAAAAAGAAAATCAAACAAAAATAGGTGATACAATATTATTTTGCAAAGTACTAAGTAGGAAGAAAGCAAAGTAGTAGGAAAACAAGATTTTCACTTACAAAAGCTAAGTCAAAGTTTGAAGGCATGTCTCTTGTTGCTTGCAAAGGAATGGTCCACTTTCAGTTAGGGGACTCAGAGAATTTGTGTCCTGTTGACTCACGAGGGCCTAAAAGAAACTCATTTCCATTGGTCCTGCTTTTCCAGAGAAATTTCGCAGTTGATTTTCTTGTTGTGTTTTGTTATGACTGTGTTTGTGTGTGCAGTGTGATATCTTTCTTTGTGGCTCAGGTTTACCGGTTAGAATTCAGAGTTGTATGTTATCTCTGTAACTGTTTATGCTGTCAGAAATATTACCGATTGTTTGTTATGTTAAAAACTCTTAGCAGTTCCCCTTTCAGAACGACTGATAAGACTTCATTGCTATTGTACAGAATTCATGACTTGTTTCATTCTATAATCTATCTATCTTGTAAACCAAGAAAAAGCTATTATTACAGACGATTCAAGGGTGAACTTCCTAGTAAGCTGTCAGAGTGTTGTCTTCATAGTATCAGTCTTCAGGAATTTTGAAACGGTTTTAATATATCCTTAACAGGCAATCTATGTGGCCACTAAGGAAATAACCTATGTATTTACATGACATCTGGGTTGAAATGAAAGTGGCACAATAAGTGGTTCAAACTGAATTAATACTAGTAAATTCAAAGCTTTATTTTCAGTAATTTTAGCTAGATGGTTAGCTTGTATTAAAACAGTCCCAGAATTCTATGTCCAACCAGTGCTCATCTTTTAAATGCTTAGAGAATTGAAAGGAATTTAAAAACAAATGCTCTGATGTTGAAATTTTACTGTGAAAGATTATAGTCTGATCTCTTCCATGAAGGAAGAATTAAGACTGCAGTGTGATTCCATGGTAGGTAGAACATGTTTTCTGTGTAAGAAGTTATGGTAGAGTAATTTGACTATTCTAGGGAGTAATCTGTAATTCAACATGAAATGCAAAGGTCCTTTTTATGGGTCTACGAGAGGATCTGAATTAAAAAAAAGTAAATAAAACTGAAAACAGAAAAACTCAAAACAGAAATAAATTACAGTGTTATCAGTGAGGATTAATAAATCTTGAAACAGAATTAAATTGTAATGATTCAAGCAGCATGTGCTAGATCCTGTTACATTAGATTCCAGTTGAGTACACTAGTCTAGCTAATCTGACATTGTCTTGATTAAGAAGTTAGGAACTTGCTGAGGCTTGTGATTAGCTTGACAGTCAAGATTTGCTAATCACGGTATTCTTTCTCAATCCTAGAACCTGAGGTTATGAAAACTCCTTTTCTTTCCTTTCCCTTCTGACTTCCTCACTGTGTCCACCTTGCACATGGTAGCCCAGCTGGTAGCCATGCATAGAATCACAGAATGGCCCTGGTTGGAAGAGGCTTCAAGGATCACGAGTCTCCAACACACCCTGCCACAGGCAGGGTCATCAACATCCACATTTAATACTAGACCAGGCTGCCCAGACCGGGCCATGAAAACACTACTAGGGACAGGGCAGATAGATACACACATAGGTAGCCACTGAGTTCATATTTAAGAATTTGCCAGATAGAAATGAAAGCCTTCTCAGTCAGTGACAAGTTATTTTGAAAATTTTAGGAACTGACCATCTTTGAGGCTTTCACCTCTGTTTTAAGTATAGCTGGAAGAAAGAATAGAAATAAAACATTATTGGAAGAGAAAGGACAGACAGGTAAATGGGCATAAAAACAGACGTTTTGAGAATTCTAACAGTCACCTGGCAGTTAAGTTGCCCTTTTGAAACTGTTTAAATATACTAAATGCCATTTTGCTTACAAATCAAATCCAGCCTTCTCTGAGTTGAACAAGATAGCTTGCTTTACTGCACACAGTAATGCTAAGATGGTTTCTGGAAAAAAAAATAGAGAAACACAACATTATAGAAGAGCATTATATTTAGAACTCTGTGAATATTTAGGGAGTCAAAATTTGATTGCCAACCTTGATCCACAAATCTAAAATGCACATATGGTTGATATTTTTCTATTACATAGCATGTATTTCTGGAAGCCTCATCACTTTTGTCCCTTTTTGATCTGAAAAACATTTTTGGCACAGCCTTAAGATGAAATTTCGAATGAACGTAAAGCATTTATCTCCGTTTGCTAGCCAACAGGCCAGCTATCAGTAGGCGGTCTGGCTGCGCTATTTCCTTATGGATTAGTATTACAGGATTGTAATTATAGTAAATCTTTTTACTTCGTAACAACAACAACAAAAAAAGATATTGTGAGTTGAGAAAGTTGCTTTGTACCATATTTTTGTTACAGTTGTATATTTGACAGTGATTTTTTAATCATAGTTAATTATAAATGATTCATCAGAATGTTTAAAGCCCCACAGAAATGTTTAAATAACTCATGGCTCTTATTGCACTGTAGTGCTTTAAAATATTACACTCACCTTAAAACTAAGGAGTAAATTCAATTAACACTACTGTTGTTCTTACCTTCCTGAAGTAACTCATAAGATGATTACTTCAAATCACCTACAAAACATAGCACTAACAGTACTCATTTGGAATGTAGTTTCATAGGATTTCTATCTTTTATATTGTTCTCAAGCTATTCCTTTCTGTCTTTCCTTTGTGCAAGCCAGTTTCATGCAAAAGGTCTGCCACTGTCAACAGCTTTTTATTTTCTGCTTTCCAGTTGTGAACAAAGGTAACAAAGCCTTCCAAAGGTACTAAAGGCCAAGTTTTAATCCTCTGCACAGTGAAAGATCTGATTTTTTTTTTCTTCAACTGTCCTAGTCAGTGATACCATTGGTAGGTTTGTTTGTTTTACAAGACCACGCACCTCAAGTACTGTGTCCAGTTTTGGGCCCCTCACTGCAAGAAAGATATTGAGGCCATGGAACGTGTTCAAAGGAGGGCAACAAAGCTGGAGAGGGGTCTGGAACACAGACCATATGAGGAGAGGCTGAAGGAGCTGGGAATGTTCAGCCTGGAGAAGAGGAGGCTCAGGGGAGACCTCATTGCTCTCTATAACTTCCTGAAGGGAGGTTGTAGTGAGCTGGGGGTCGGCCTCTTCTCTCGTGTCATTTCCAACCTTGGTGATTCTATGATTCTATGATTCTAAGAGTTGTAGCTTAGAATTACTATAATAACTCTAGAGCCTGGATATAAGGTAATCATGGGTAATCAATAGGACAATCACAGGAATAAGATGAAAATGAATTTCAGGTCTTCACTCTTAATTAAACTTCACAAGTGCACAGTTAGAAGGCTAAGTTATGATACTGCTTAGAAAACAGAAACCTTCAGGAAGTCAAGGTTGTTAAAAGGGTTCTGCTCTGAATCACATTCTATGCAAACCTGCCTGTCTCCATTAACTTTGCCGGTGGTTTTAGCAGATTTGCCTTCTAATTCAAAAATGCAATTTAGATGTCTAAAGTTACACAATGTGATTATTTCCCTTGCTTCTACTTGTCAATTCCACAGCATTTCCTTCATTTTTTAAGGAAAAATGTGATAGTAGAGAATGCTGCTATGAAAAGAAAAATGGTTTAGCACTGTGCTAATTGCCATCTTGATTTGGTTTGGGATTATATTGCACAAAAATAAATGTTCTTTTTTCCCCCTACAGTGCAAAAGAAAAAGGTTTATTGTGAGAGAAGAGACCAATCTAGTCAATAAACTACTGTCCATTTGGGTTAAAGGAAGACTCTTTATTCCCAATTCCTTTCAGTATTTCCCAGTGTGTGAGAGATGCTCCCAAATTATTTAAGAAATGTGTACTCCATGAAAATCAAGATCTTGTAGCAACTGAATGGAAAAACATTAGAAACTGGTGATATCAGTAAGCTTATAAAAGTTCAAGGTGAAAGGCAGATTTTTCATAAAATTTGAATTTTAATTTGTGGAGACAGTAAAATTTATATGACAATATGTTCAGCTCAGACAGCTAATTATTTAAGTCAACATCATAGCCTTTTTTTTTTTTTTTTTTTTTTCCTTTTGGAGAAGGTAAGCAAGCATTTCTTTGTCTTGCTACAGATTTTCACAGAGAAATGTAATGCTTTTGGGACTTCTGTGTCGCTGCCAAATTCAACTGGATTTGGCTAATAGATTCAAAAACTATTAGAAAGAACTGGAAAATGAACAGGATAATGAGATATCTTGATAACCTTAGGGAATCAGGCTAAAACCTATGAAATGTTTATGCTTTCAAGTTAAAGAACAGTGGTGCAGCAGAGTTCTTCAGAGTGCCTCTTTTCAGGTGTAAACACCATGGTCTTCTCTGTACCTGGCTTCTCAACAAGTAAATGAAGTATGGATGTAAGGTTCGGCAGCTTCAGCACACAGGACCACATGAAACATCTGGTAAAATATCTTTAGTTTCCTAGGACTGGATCAGCACAAACTTTACAAGTAACATTCTGTATCTTTTTATAAAGTAAAACAGATTTCCACCAGAACATAAACAACAAAGTATATTATAACCTTAGGAGATTCATCCAGGAAAGCACAAAGAGTAGATGCAGCTCTTGATGCTGGCCCTATAAAAATGCAGGTACAAGCACCTGAGCTTTGTCATAATACTCTCAAATAACACTGACTTACATATCTACCTTACAACTCAGGAAACTGAAATGCACCACCACCTAAGTATAATCTGTGAGAGGTAATTCTCAACAGTCAAACACCAAGTCCAACTCCTAGCTTAAGTCCATTATCTGCAACGGAAGATTCATTTGGAACTCATGTGAATGAATCTGCAATCGGACATCAACACTCCTCTATGGCAGTCTTGCAAAAATTTTACTCCGTATCTTCTTTTCATCATTAAGTATCTAATTAAGTTGATGATCTCATTTCTTTTTAAACTACCATATAATAACTCAAAAGTTGTCCCTGGCTGAAAGGGAATAATTATTTGGTGGATGCCATCCCTTGTCCATTTACTGTTATGCTCCTGAAGATACAGAGAGGGATAATTTTACTGTACTTCGATCACTTTTTTGAAGCTGTAGATATTTTTGAACCTCTATCCATGTACAAAACTACTTTTCATTTTTCAAGTTCAGTAGTCCTTCATAAAGGCCATCAACTGCAAAAGGCGGTATCACAAGTATTTGTAAGGATGGCACTTGTTTGTTTTTTTTTTGGTTTTTTTTGGAACTGCTAAAAATCAGCAGGACTTATCTTAAAGTTCAGTTCCAAGCTCACTTGTTTAGGTTACATGTGCTTGCAAGAAGTCTTCAGTGCAGTCTTAGTATTTTAGTCTTAACTCTGTATTTAAGAACTCATTCCATGAATGTATCATATAAGTTTCTCCTGCTATATTTGAAAATCTAATGATTCTTGTTTTCAGTGTTTCCAATTATAATGAATGCTTTTTTAATTGCACTTTGGCCTGAGTGTTCTTACTCTTATAATGAACTCTTGCATCTTCCACTACAGAAATGTCTTTCCACTTTGTTAACTGCTCTTCTTGATGAAGTACCTAGAGAATTTCTTGTTGATTAAATTCGTTCTTCCTTTATACAGTCTCTTAGATCAGATATCCAAAACAGTAATTAAAGAAAAAAAACTCCTGAAGGAATATTTTTATACTTTCTTCCTACCTGTACAATTCCTTTTGGTGATAGCTATCATTAATTCATGATTATAATTTATGTTCTTCTTTTTACACTATGATTCTGGCAAAATAGTCTTCATATTACTTTGTAATTTAAAGTATCTTCTGACATTTTGATGTTGACAGAACACATTGTCTTTGGTAGTCCTGATTCTTGTTATTTCAAGAATTATTATTTGTCTGTTTGTATGTGATCTTAATAAAATTCAGAAAACATGGCAAGTGTATAGTCAACGAATATAAAGATGCTATAATTATGAAATAAATAAGAGTTTAGCAAAGACTCTTATATTATAATCACAAAAAAGAGAACAGATAGACTACTTACCCACATCCTGGGCTCACTGCAAAACCCCAGAGGAGGGATCTCCAGAAAGAGATCCTTTCCCACTGGCAGTCAGCTCTTCAATGGGTCTAGGAGAGGCGCAGCCAGGCTCCACCCCTTCCAGCAGCACAGGTGAATTGCCTTCTCCTGTGCTCCTCTGGCTGACTCATGGCTCGCCTCAGGTGATCCATCAGAGGTTCAGGCCGTGATTCAGCAGTTCCCACACAGCAAGTAATAAAGACGGAATTCTAAATAAATTACCTCTTGGGGATTATGGTAGGGAGACTTTACTAATAACTTCTCCCTGAAATGTGTGGAAGTGGAGTAGTACAAATTTAATTTATACTGTGTTATTCTTTTTAATTAGGGTAATAGATAAGAAAAATTGAATTAAAATTAGGTTAAAAAAAAAAAGCTATTTAATTATCTGTAAAAAAGACAATAATGGCCCAGCAGAATAAGCTTTTCTTAAAATCCTGACCATTCTTCCTAAGCTCTCATATAGAGTATGTCATGGATGTGGCATTCCCTGACTGATAACTCAGTCAGCATTCACACTCAGCTCTTAGAGTGTTCATTAAGGCTGCTAGAATGTTGGCTTGTTATATCTTTAGGTGCACATTTCTGCAATAAGACCACCTGACCAGGTTTCAACAGGGACAGAGCTGATTTTCTTCACAGTGTCTGGTGTGATGCTATGTTTTGGTTTTAGAAGAAAAGCAGTGTTGATAACACACTGATGTTTTACCTGTTGCTGAGCAGTACTATACAGAGCCAACCAAGACTGTTTCAGTTTTCTCAGCTTCTACTGTCCTACCGATGAGAGGCTGGGGGGCACAGGGAGCTGGGAGAGACAGAAACAGGACAACTAACCTGAAACTGCCAAAGAGACATTCCATACCATATGACATCATGCAAAAAAATGTGAAACTGAGGGGACAGCCACTGCTTAGGTCTGATTGGGTGTCAGTCAGCAGGTGGTGAGCATTTGTGTTGTGCATCACTTGTTTTGTAAATAAATATATATTAATTATCACTATTTGTTTCTTCCTTTTCTATCTTAGTAAATAGTTTTTATCTCAGTCTGTGAGTTTTACTTCTTTCTTTTTTTTTTCACCGTTTCTCTACCACCAGGAGAAGGGGGAGTAAGAGAAAGGTCACATGGTGCTGAGCTGCCTGCTTCATTAAACTACAACACTATCACAACTTACAAGATATGCATATGTTAAATGTTGAGCAATTTGTGTGTTCAATGCTTGAACTGGTCTTTCACAGTGTGAAATCCTGCAGATCAGAGCTATAATATAGAAACATACATGTAATCTTTGCTGTCCTGGACTTACATTATACTACAGCAACTTTGGACAATAAATTCGAAAGTAAATAACATTAACTTCACCATTCTTCTATAAAAAAAGTGTGAATGGGATTGGGAAATACGTGCAGTGCCTCAATTTTCTGGGCAAATGCTAATGACACTTCTTCTGTTACTTTTCTTCTAAGTACAAAAACCTCTGCCAAGTTAAAAATTTGTTAGGGAACATGCAAATATTGGAAAAGAGAAAGAACATCAATGTTTATTAATAATGGACGTACTGATAGCTGAGGGCTCAGCAAGAATTTTATGTTATTCAGGTTATTCTGGCAAATTTCAGCAAGCCTGTTTTCCAGAAAATCATCATCCATAAAAAAACTTCCCAAATATTTTCATTCACAAGGATGATGTTTTGCTTAACTTCTGTTTTCTGCTTTATCATCTGTGCTCTGTAAAATCTGAATGTGTGTATTTATATGTATTTAAATCAAAGTTTTCCTTCCAAGATTGATCCTGCTCATTTTGAGTTTAAATATAAACTAATATAAAATTGCTACTTTTAATTAGTAATAAAATATTCCAAAGTCCAGTCCCATGTTTCAGGACCTCGGAGAGCACCCGCGGTTCTAAAATGAACTTCGAAATGGGCAAAGCACACAAAGACAAAAAAGACAACAGTTCTATGAATGATTGTATTTTAATCAGATTATTAATAATCTCTGAGGTCTTCAAATATTTTGAGTTCTGCCTCTTGAAAGAGAAGCTGTTAAATTACCTACTTTGGGAATATCGTACATGACATCATATTTTGCACATTCAAGACGATCTGCTGATTTCAGCTGTTCCAGCAATTAAAATAAATTTGAAATAATTTCCTCACAATAAGAATTTATTTGTACTTCCCAGTTTGATATGAAGACCACTGGATCTTACATGGTCTGATTGTGAAATAAATAGAGGACCAAATTAATTTTGATAAAATTACAGTATTGATTTTGCAGGAAGATTTTATTTCTGTAAAGGAAATGTATTCAGTAAAAAAAGAAATCATCAGGCCTGCCTATTGAGGCAGATCTGTGCTTATTTGGTCTTCATTTCAAAAATGGCCAAGAAGACATCTGAATTTATATATGCACACTTTTTTACATACATTGCAGTCTGTCTTTTCATTCTTATGTAACAACCACTTTACTAAATGAACATATAACAGAAAAAAATTCTGAAAACATTAGCTGGAGTCTAGAATTTTCTGTTTGCTTCAACTATAGTAAAACTTGTTGCAAGCTGAAAATAGGCTGGTAGAACATAAAAGCAGCAGCACTTACTCTACAGCTAATAGGTAAAACTTCTTGTTTTGGTACTTTCTCAGCTGTCTGAAGAATGTTGTCAGTGTTGTCTTTAGATGTTTAGTACCATTTAAGATGCCATAAGATTTTTGAGATTGACACAGAGCCCGCAGGACACCTGTACTTTTCTGGAGTAGCAGCATGCTAGGGCATCTCAAATAGCATAGGTTTCTATGGTATCTGTATAATTACATTTTTACATTACATAATTACAATAATTACATGTTCACACTAAACAGATAATCTTTTTCGGAAATGATAGTGAAAAATATATTTGTAAACAATCAGAGAACTATGGTACTTAGACCATGTGTTACTTACAACTCCTTTAAAGCTTGTAAACATGTTGTTATAAGTCACAGGTTTTTTTTCAGATTACTGCAATTGTGGTAGATACAACATATCTAATCCATATCTGAATAAAGTGGCTTATTTTCTTCTCAATATTTCCTTCCTTCCTTCCTTCCTTCCTTCCTTCCTTCCTTCCTTCCTTCCTTCCTTCCTTCCTTCCTTCCTTCCTTCCTTCCTTCCTTCCTTCCTTCCTCCTCCTCCTTCCATTTTTTGAGGTAAGAAGTATTTTTTTTATACCTGCACAAATTCTTAGATTTTTGACTGAGACAGTGGGAAATGATGTTCTGTGGTTTGATCCAGGATCTGGATAGCAAATTCCCAATCATGGTCAGACCAGAACTAAGAATCAGTCCAGGATTAGGCAGCTAAATCAGAAAACTCGTGACAAGTTTATGAAGCAAAGTTTGGTATGCCAGGACAGGTACACTAAAGGTCATGCCACAGTCATATGCACATCTGTGTAGTCAGAGAGAAACTGATACCAAAGCCAGAAGCAGGACTAAACAGGAAAGTAAGAGATCTGAAAGATGGCTCTGTAAAACCAATAACTTTAGGCGAGGAGTAGAAAACTAGGGAGGGTAGATAGCTGGGACTTGTATAGATTAGATGTTGCGAGTAATATTTGCACTTCTCATATGAAATCATTGACATTTTCATACATTTTCCTTGATTGTTTGGAAAGCATCCTCCAAGGACACCAGAAAGTATCCAAAGAATAGACAAAGTAAGCTGGAAGACTTTCTAAGTGAAAACTGATTTTTTCTAGCCAGTTATCTTCTCTTCAATTAATAGTTGCAATAGTAAGCCAAGTGAAATCCTAATGGAGACAACTGCAATCTATGAGATAGTGATTGAGACTCTAAAGACAGCAGCCAATGGCTGCCTGCTTGTAGGATGATTCACTCCCAGGTGCTGAAGGGGTGATTCATCCTCAGTTGGGCAGTGACTCATTACAACTCAGTACCAGTTTGATTCCGACCCTGAAACATGTATACATATATACTTGACATCATATGTTGGTAGTGTGTGTTGGAATGTTCTCTGAAAGATAATGAATGGATATCAAATGTTAGCAATGCCCAGACAATCTACCTCATGTTGTGTGGAGAAAGGTGCTACACAGGGAAGTAGATATGAAGAGCTATCCTGAAAGAATTAGTGCAAGTCAGAAAAAAAAAAGGGGTAAATAGCGTTCCAGTTGCTTTCAACCAAACTAAATTTTGAATAATAAGCTGATAAAAAAATGGAAAGTGTAACAGAGCTGTTTCAAATTCAAAGTACTTTACAAAGCCAGCTACTAGCAATGAAAAAGAATTTAAAAGGAATGTGTTGGAATTTGAAAGTTATCATAATTAGAAGTTTAAATGGCCTTTTGATTCTCTGAAACTACACTTTGAATTTGTTCTCCTGTGATAGTCTGTGAACTGAAGGTATACTGGAAATAAGCAAAGACATCTAAGAAAGAGTTGTGTCTCTACGCTAATTATTGTTCTCCTGTCTCATTATATAGCAGTCCAAATTGTGAGATGAGTCCCTTACTCACTGATGACTGTTTTAAAATGTCACCCATCCTATTTTCCTGAAACTCAAGGTGACACAGTCGTAAGTGATTAAGTGGACAGATTTTGTTTCATGATTTTAGTGTTTAGATGCAAGTCTTTCCTTTATAAATAGTGTAACGTTTCTTGATTTCCGTATGGTCTGCCTTTGGTGCATTCGTCTTCTTCAACTTTTTATGTTATTTCAATGTTCCTACATAGTATATTTTAAATTTATTAAATTATTTTTACATATTATGTATTACAGAATGTACATCTCTTTCTGTTTGGAATCAAGAAAAATATCAACATCTTCCCAGCCAGAATATAATTTATATATTTTTATGTACACAAACGTATTTATAAATGCTCCTAAAATCTTATGAACAAATGGATGAATGTGCAAAGCAGTATTTAAAGTGATATGTATGAAGATTGTTCTGAAAGTAATGCCTCCTATTTTATTGTGTTGGGCCACTACATCAGGAGGATGTTGGCGGTAAAGCAGCAGAAGTCAAACCTTCCAACC